CAAATCCTTCGGATTACTCACTTGCTGTTACATGAGATGTTAGTCACTGATTCGGCAAATAATTTGATTGGAATCAATCCGGAAGAGAACGGAACCGACCACGTTTTACATCCAGAACGTACTCTTGAAGCCCGAGCTCTCTTGCGCTTCATCGGTTGACTATGAATTGGATCATCGCGGCTGTTAACTGACGCCGCCATAACATAAAGTTTAGGCACATAGCATGGTGTTCCAGTGGTCAAGCAAGTCGTCGAAATTGGTATACGAGAGGATTTTGATTCCTAAATAACTATTTCAACATTGCCCACAGACTGTCATTGCGCTCTGCTCAACCCTTAGACAAGACCTTCAGGGCTTACTTAGTGGCCGGGTACTGTAAATGCCCCGCACTAATAACTTGAAGTATCTCTCAGATGGAGCTTTCCAAAAGGGATTAAGCTTGAAGGTGGAGCGTAATCGTCGACGCTTATTTTTGGCTTCCTTCAGTGTTAGAGCCACAGTATTATCAGTCTTTATTTCCCCCATTATTAAGCCAAAATCAAGTCATAAGTTAACACCGTTTTTTTCTAATCAATCCTGTTCTGGGCCACTTTTTTATACAAAAAGTCACTTTTTTATACAAAAAGTCACTTTTTTGTCTTATCCATATCTCTAGAAAAATAGAATATCATCTTATAAAATTAAAAAAACGAATTTTTGTACTGATGTTAACAATATAATAAGATTTCGGATTATTAGGATTTTTCTGAATTGATATTTAAAGCTTCGATAAACCTTTAGGAGGCCTATACCTCGAAATCAAGGCCAAAACGGCTATCTATATTATGTAATCACCGAAGAGTCTGAGTATTGGATAACCGAGCTCAGCTCGCGGCTCTTTAAACCCCCTGCTCGCAAGTTCGCAATTCGCCTGAACACAACTCAGTGGCTGAATGAGCCTTAGCCAAGGCCAATGCCACTACAAGTTCACAATGCAAGCCCCCAGAAACAGATAAGCATCAGAACAGGATTGACATGCATGTCTATCACGCAGTGGTGCATTCGCAATATTTGGATATGCTCATCACCCCTCATCATCTTTCTCATTGTACTGCTGTTATCTCAGCATTCGTTCTCTATACTTCATTGGCATTTTGCTATCGCGAACGGTGTCAATTTCATTGTATGTAATTTAAAATTTCGAGTACATCCTATGTACTTTGTAATCACTGCCCAAGTTCGGGGAGGTTTGGATGGAATCCAAGTCCAGCCTTGTCACTCATAAGGCTTGGTGGCAATACTCCTCTCCTTCTGCGACTCAATGTTCATGGTAGGACTTTCAATCCAGCGTAAATTCTCTGGATAAGCCATTAGTTTATACGGGCAACTGGGAAATCTTTGGTGATACTTTCCATTCATGTATATTCCATGAGCTACTTGCGACTAGCTAGACCACTCTCTTTCAGAAGAAATTTGGCTAGCTTCTTTTCGAACATTGCGAACACGACTGGTACCGCAAATTTTGAGTTTCTTATGACAGTCTTGCGACCTTTTGATTTCTTTGTACTTCGGAGGGGTTCAAGGGACCCATTGAGTCAGCATGTCTACCCCCAATGCCGAACCGTCCGATATCTCACCAGAGGAGTGCGAGCGCTGTTTTGCCTTTTTACAAACCATTCACGGACAAGAGTTTCTGCAGGCATGTTACGAGGAACGCGAAGAGCGAAAACGAATCAGCAAACCAAACACTATTCACGGAAAACTCTTGAAACTCTCTGAGGTTCGGAAGCATCACGAATGGGAAGCACACAAACGCGATATCTTCTTCTACTACATGCGAAATTTTAGCTCTGCCGGTATATTACGAGAGATCACTGCCACAGGCTACCGGTTCTCAAGTCAATCGTAAGTACAATAATTGAGGTCTCACACGATGGTTGATTAATATATACTATAACAGACCTCGAACTTGTGATAATAGATTAGAGGCATGGGGCTATCCTCTTAATCCACAATCTAGACAGATATTTTTGAGTCGATTACGAGAGGAAGCAGCAGTTTGGGAGAGAAAAATTCAACTTGATCTTCAGAATGATTCCTCGGTAGTATCTGACCTACTGAATTTAGAAACAGTTGCTGTTCCCAGTCATATCCACCTCAATGTATTCAACACACCATTTGGATTTGGAGATTCTCCAACTCTTGGCACGACTAAAGGAAAGACAATAACCGATGTCATAGAACCACTTGATCACAAAGCGTCGAAATTCATTATGGCACAAGGCTCTACAATTCTGGACCATACTTTCCAATTGGATAGTGTTTCGCCGAGAAATTTTGACGAATTTACCAATGGGCAAATTCCAGTGGACACTAGCTTGCCTTCTTCGGCAAGTTCATTCATCTCACAGGAAGTCATTGGCTGGGCCGAAACCCAAAACAATAACGATATATCCCCCGAATATATCAACCCCAGCGTGTTAACTGCACCAATCTCGTCTGTCAAATCTGATACCGATTCTGGCTATTACTCGATGGAAGTGGTAGAGAAACTCTTAGGGTATCAAGACATAGATGATAATATACAAGAGGAACAAGAGCCCTCTGTTGATGGAGACTTTGACATGGTTGACCCTAGACCTAATAGTCCGGATCAAGCTTATTACCAACTCTTCGATGCTAACTCCATGATTCCATCGAATGAAATGAACTATCTTCTACGACAGAAGCTTGATTCTCCACGCCGATCATCTATACTACACACGATTCCTTGCAGGAATGATCACATGGATATTGCACTCGGCAAGAGAACTGTATGCGAATGTGGGGTTACTCAAGTCCATGCTGTTTGCCTCTGCATGATCGATTTACCTGACCATCAAATTCTCACAATACTAGGACATGTCTTCAACAAAGACGAGATTGATGGGGCAGGAAATACTTCACTCCACTACGTTGCAGCAGCTGGGCGAAAGGATGTCCTTGAATACATGATTGCGTCAGGCATTGACCCTAGACAATTAAACACTATTGGCCAGAGCTTCTTACATGTTTTGGACGCCAGCCGTTTTAGTGATGATTTGATTAACTTCCTTGAGATGTTCAAGGATAGCGGTTTACTGGAGCAACGTGATCATAATGGTCGAACAGTGCTGCATGGTCTTCTTCGAAATCCAATACTGCCTCATGTGTATCATGACCTAGTAGATTTCTACGGACCCGAAAGAGTTATACAATTCTCGCTTCGGGACAATCAAGGTCTGACAGCAGCACAGCATATACGAAACGTTGCTCAAGCTCAAAATCCTTATGCATCATATGGCCACGTCGGCTATGCTCAAGCTATAGTAGTCTACGAAAATATCGCCAATCGATTCATTACACAGACTGAAATCCCTGGTAACTCTATTGAGGAGACACAAAACCGTATTGCGGTTCTTAGAAATTCCAACCCCAACGTGGCGGATTCTGTTCCGAACACCGAAGATAGTACGGGTAGTAATGCTCTCCATTGCTTGGTCCTACCACCTAGAACTTGTACACTGGAAGATACCGAAAGAACCCTCGATAAGCTAAAGCAATACATATTTTTCGGAGCCGACATCAATCATTATGATCAGGCCGGTAGAACACCACTTCTCGCAGCCATCATCGAATCTACATCTCCCACAAATGAATCCGCCACCAAAGCAATTGTCGAATTACTTTGCCAGAGGGGTGCTAATGTCTATCAGAAGGATCGAGATGGTCACACTGCATTATACCACGCGATACGCAAAGGTTATTGTGACTGTGTTGCCATTCTACTTCAGCACGGAGCCCATGTGAATTGCAGAGCACCAAATGGACGCAGTTATCGAACGGCTGCACAGGATTATTTACAGGAACATCTATCGGCAAATGACCAGGAAGGGTTTGATAAATTACAAAAACGACTGGCTGTTGTATCGGCCTTGGTCGCTTATAGGGCTGTATTGGAGCCAACGCTGCTCCAGGCCTGGGGTGTTGATGCGACGTGAGAGTAATCGAGGGAAGAGATACATTGTTATCGTGATTCCATTGACTGTGAGACTATGATATGGTGACAGGTTAATCAAGCGAATCGGTGGATTTTGGGTTGAGAAGCCTTTCAATCGTCTCCTTCCATACGGCTATCTTGTTCTCATCTCAAATTGTCCACAGTCTCTCAAACATTAACTGACGCACACTCGATTATCCACGTCCAACATCGCCAAATGAAACCCATGAAGCAAACAAAATTTAGGTGGAGCTGCTAGAATTCCAAGTTTGGATTCACATCCTCTAAATTTCGCGATAACAATTCTCACTCAATGACACACTTTTTAACAAGTCATAACACCTTCAAAATCCATGAGACATACCATAGAGCTTGAATATATAAGCCAATAAAGGAGTCAGAGAAAATAAAGAGTTCTCCGTGCCACTAGGCTCGCCGAAGAAAAGATAATGGAGATGGATTGAGGAATTGGTATATAAGAGGTAACGAAGCGAAAGATGGAGTAATTCATTGTCTGAAGATATCTTCAGCAAACTCGTCTGGTAATATGATATATTATATATATCATAGATAGTGAGCCAGCTGGATTAATGGTTTGGTCAGGAAAGAAACACTTATGCGTTGGTTTATTTATCGACTGCCCCTTAGAAGATAGCTCTACTGGTTGCGGTTTCACCTATTGGAATTTCATACTATTCAACGTGGGTGACCACTAATTTAATGTATATTCAAGTACAAATCTAAAGTTCTTTGGGGTGTAGTGGATCGCATAAGACGAATTCAATTGACGGTTTTAAAATAATAGAATAAGAGGAATTGTATTTATCAACTCATACTATAAAACAAAAGTTCCTCGTGTCATTGAGCTAAAATTTTCTCAGCAAATCCATAAGTGGCACTCGCTTCCTTACTCCAATTTCTCTACTTCACCCAGCCGTTATCCAGACCTCTAATCCTCCCAGTCCTCCCATAATAAACCACCCAATCTTGAAACCTAGTTCTCTTATTCTCCAGATCTCGAAGCAACAAAGCATTTAAAATGCGGCATTTCCAAAAATTCCTCAAAATCCAACCCCTCCACCAAAGGATCAACAAACTCCAACCACTTCAGGCCCTCCATCCCCGCTTCCCTAGCACAATCTTCATACAACTCCCTCTCCCATATATACGCCTCAAAGACCAGTGGATTCTCCTTCTCCCCATCCTTCCCATGAACCGAGATCTGAACCTTTGCGCCCCCATCCACCCTACACAAGATATTCCTCGTAACGCCATGTCTCGACTCTCCCACATTCTTCGAACGCAAACTCTCGAAATTCGGCACAATCCCCACACACCTCCCACCAGGCACAAGAGACGCAAAAATATTGCGCCACATAGCCAAGAGTTCCCGTTTCTCAGACGCATAGTTCAGAAACCAAACTGCGAGCACGAGATGAAATTTCTCTTCTAGATTCTCTAATGGCTTGCTGCAATCTGCGACGTGGAAATGATATTTTAGGTGCTCGTTATCTGTACCCAAGTCTCCTCCTCCGCATTGAACACGTGCGGATTCTATCATCGCTGGGGAGATATCGATACCCACTACACGTTCAGCGCCCCATTCCAAGAGCTTTTGAGTGTAGTACCCGGCTCCGCAAGCGAGGTCAAGAATGCGGAGACCGGTGATATTTCCAATGTGTGTCTGGATGGCTGCTAGCTCAAAAGAAGACCCTTGCTGGTTTTTGATAGCAGCGTAGCGAGAGCCGATGGCATCATATTGGGATGTAGATGGAGTGGATGACATATCTGAGGAACAGGAAGATTTCGTGCTTTGAGATTGGAACTTGTTGACTGGAGGATATGGAGAAAAACAAGAGAGAAGTAATCGTCAATATGCGGTGTAACAATGCTTGATGTCTCAGATGCGAAATCGATATAAAATCGTAGAATGAGACAGAGCAAGCCAGACGTCGAAGAAACAAACAAATACCAAAGAAGATGAACAAAAACCTGTCTGATAACAAGTTAATAAATTCATACCCAGAGAAGGATAAATTAAAAAAGAGAGGTTCAGAAGCTCTCTCCAAGCTCCAGCTCCTAGAAGGATTTGATCGCACTAGCTGTCCGACCTGCATACTCTCAAACGCAATCACGTGGAGTGGCTTCATTCCAAGGTATTTACAGTCGCGCAACATGAAACATGAAACAATGCATGAGGTGTTTGGATGACATTGATAACAACCCCCCCTCGCACATCTATCTTACTTCAATACAATATACAGCACAACACAACACACAGAATACAAAACGCACCACACAAAGAAACAGCAGCACCTCACCTCACATACAAATCCCAACACCCCAAAATTTAACTCCTAGCCACATCCACAACCCAAGATAATACACATCATCACAGCATATCCCCCTCTCCCCTCACACTCCCCCTCCCCCCCCCAAATCCTCCGCCCCCTCTTCAACATCCTAATAACCCAACACCCTCCAACACCCTCCAACTCCCAAGTCTCTTCACCAGAAGCTCCACTCCATTTCAAGTAATACCTACAGTACAACGCAATAACACCTATCCATCCACCCATCCACCCACCCATTCAATTTCCTCCCTTCTCTCTCATCTCAACACACTATCAATTATTAACCATCAACTATTAATTATCATCATTCCAAAATATCGAATCGAAAGAACCACCTCCGCAGTTCACTCACCTCTTACCCACTCATCAAACTTCCAGATAATACCCTCCAACAATCCATCACTTTAGTTGACATCTCCTCGTTTCTGACAGACAACTAACCTGGAATGCTAACCAAGAAGCCAGTACGTCTACTTGGACTTATTGGGCAGTAATAGGAATTTCTTGACCTGAAACCAATAACTAATATACCAAGACATACAATATTCACAACAAAAGTTCTCAACAATCTGTCATCGATACATATCAAGTCGAGTCAAGACAAGCCACGCCAGATCATTTACCATCAACATCTCACGGTTTGCAAATTTAACACTCACCCACTTAATCACTCAATCATAGTTGTGTTCTTCATAATGATTGAATTTAATTCTACCATGTGTAGTACTAACGTACGTATGTATGTTATATAGCAAGTAGCCCAGGCTACTTACATATAATCAGGCATAGACAGAACCATACCATTCTCAACTCTCATGATCTCGTAATAGCTTTGTAAAAAGAACAAACAACCAATCAAGACAGCTAATAGACAAATGCCACTCCATACCCCAAACCCAGACCCAACCCTAAAGCAAGAGATTTCTAGAAAAGCCACCCTTTCCCCACCGGCTCCCACGTTACCCCTCACCACGCGCCACTTTCAATATACCCATCCAACCCATAGTCACCCTCGCCATTAAAGTCCAAGATAGACGTGGGAAAAGGTGAACAAAATCCCGAATATAACTCCATCCAATAGACAAAAAAAGCAGTTGTAAATGCCAAAAAGAGACCAAACAAGCCTGACACTATGCTCAACATCTGCACTAGCAAATGACAAAGTTTAATTTGATAACGCCACACACCCTTTCCGCATTGGTTTCATATATGCTGCAACGACAACATAGACGCCAGAATTCTAAAATGCATGCCGAAGGTACTATACAGTACAGGAATTGATTTTGAAATCGTGAATCATTTACAAGCCGGAGACTTTGCGAGTGCTGACACTGCCAACTCTCCCACTAGTTTTGCGAACTGCCCCAGAAGTTTCTTTATTCCGGAGACTGTCACCACTACGCTTAGGGCTGCCGCGAACCTTTCCAAGTGAGCCACTGCCGGATTTGACGGTGGATGGTGTCTTAGGTCTAGCTCCGACACCAATGTTCTCAACGTCGTAGCTACTGTCATCGATGGATGTGTAGATTGTTGTGGTGGTCTGACTTATAGATCTCCCTGACCTCTCGCTTCGGGCTGGAGATCTAGATGATTTACGGGTACGCATGCGGAGTTGCCATTCCTCTTCAGATTCATTGGTATCAGTTGATGACCGATGAATTGAGATGACTTCCGTTTCACGATGTGCGCTATCGTCTTCGGAGTACGCCGAAGCATGACGCCCATATGGGTGGTGTCGATCAGCTCTGCCTGTCTTTCTCGGTTGACCTGGAGTTGGTGCCGGCAAGTAATCCTCCTGAGCTCCAATGCTATGACTTCTCTCGTTGTCTACTTCACCAAGTGGGGTTCTTTGGTTGCCATTTGGAGGAGTGACGACTTGACTCTTAGTTGTGAAATGTCCCTTTCTTGGGGTGACTGGAGCCATATTGGCGAGCTTCTCCTTCATTCTGATCTCAAATTGCTCTTCAATCCACCACTCTCGGAAAGTTCCTTGGTTAAGATGAAGCCAGTGCTGTTGAGGACCAACGACCATTCCGGGTCTCATGAAGCGCATATACGCAATGATCTCGTTGGCAGTGAATCCATATCGGTAGATTAAATATGCTCCAATCAAACATCCAGTTCGTCCAAGTCCAGCTTTGCAATGCACAGCAATACCTCTCTTCTGAACAGTAATCATCTCATGTGCTAAAGTAATGAACTTTCGGACAACACTAAGTGGTGGACACGTGCCATCATCAAAGATCATGTCCAAATGTTCAATACCCAGCGCCGTGAAAAATGATGGAGAGTATAATTCCGAGTTCAAACGAACCACTAAGCCAATGTTTCGTGATGTGAAATGCTTCAAAACATTTTTGAAAGGTGTGGGTAAGGTTGGGTGGGTATCCACGTCTTCCAAAGTTGTTGGCAAACTCGCATACAGTGGAGAAGAAGGAAGTATTGGTTGCACCGGGTGATGCTGTGGGGAAGCAAATGCAAGGAAATCGGGGGTCAACCAATTGAAATCACCCTGGTCCACGCGCTCATATCTTTCATACTCCTCGAGATCGAATTGCGGCAAAGCGCAGAACCCTTGTTCCTTTGCGCGCCAGACACCATACACAACGTCTTGAACTGTAATGCCATAATCTGCTTGACTGTATCCTGCATCGCGGAAAGGCATCAAAGGTGGGTCTGCTTGAGCGATTGGCGCAAGCGCGAGATGTGGTGCCCATGATTGGATCAAGACCATATACGTGGCTAGGAGACATGCAGCGTTGGCTCGACCTAAGTCACTCGATTAGTTTTTTTCAACCAGCAAACTTTTATGAAACAGTAGCTTACTACGCGCATCCGCTTTACTCCAGAACACGACAGGTTTGTTCTTATTTTCTGGGGCACCAAGGATGTCGTGGAATTGAACCGCGAACCTGTAGAGATGTCCAATGTGTAATGGTCCGAAGTCATGGTGAAAGGCATTGTAAAGGAGGGTGTCGTCAACGGAGAAATAATGAGGTGGTTCTCTCTTGTCGGAAACGACTGAAGGTCCATCTGCAGCTCTTGCTGACCGCTTTGTCGGGGATCGTCGAGAGCTCTGTTGCTCAGGGTACGGGAAGAGAGTATCGGGTGAGGGAGGTGTAGTGTAAGATGCCAAATACAATCGGTCTGTGTATGTTAGCCAGTGAAACGGCCTATCCTCTTCTCGAGGGTCTTTTGGACCCTTCTTTGCGCTGGCGCCAGTATATTTATCATTGGGTAGTAATGTTGCCCACTCGAGCATAGAATTATAGTCCATTGGATGCATGATATCAATAATATAATGATACTGGGCCGAAGATGTTCAATGGATCGAGTCGCGCAGTGAATGATGTTTTGATGATATTGTAAATAGAGTAACATACCTGGGATGTACTCGATGATTTGCCCGTACTTCAATTGAGAGGAAGGAGGCATCGTGGAATAAGGCACACAAAGGCACCAAGCTATTCTGGCAGTCGCGAAGCTCGAGTGTGTAAATATGGAGTAATGGAAGGTATATTGGTATCGTAGGCAAGTGCGATAGTTGTGGTGAATACTCGAGGTCAAGATGGTGAGATGGTACCTGGTACGATAGGCGCAAAGTTTATATTGTTATTGTTGACTTCCCAAATAACAACAAGTAAACACACTCCTGCGCAAGAGCTGATGTGTATAAGATTTTTAACGGCGACAGGACAAATAAAAGATATCTTTCCTTTTCATAAAAAAAGACGAATGCAATCAGAAATCTCAATGACAATGCAAAGGGAAAAGTTTAAGTAGAAGAAGGATTTCCAAAATTATTGTTAGGAATTCTCATGGATTTGTATGTATGGTGAATGTTAATGATCAATAACAATTTACTAGTCTGTTTATAGTAATTATTCTGACCCGGCAACGAGAATTGACCAGCAACATGAAGCAGGGTTGGAGGTCAAGATTCCAAACAACTTGTACATAAGTATTTGTTTATTATATGGCTGGCGAATATGGATTGCTTGCCAGGTATATCGTCGATTTCTTTTCTTTATGAGGTTTGTTATTGTATTCTATCTGATCTAGCACCGCGTTCTACTACCTACCTACCTACCTCTCTAGATATCTCTCTCACATAGACAGCATCAACAGTTGAAGAATCTATTTGTCTCAAGCCCTTCTCAGCAAAATCAGATAGGCGTTTTTGCTTTCCCCTTCATTTTCTTCTTCATTACTTATCAAGGAAACTTCACTCTCTGCAAACCAACCTCCCCTCCAAACTTTTAGACACCCCTGCGATTCCTCATCCCTCTTTTTCCTATCCCGTCCCCATCACCGCCAAAACACATCATCCAAAAATAACCGGGTCTATTCTCAAAAATCAAAACAAATTCCTCCGCATATTTTGATTTCCTTGAAATTACCCAACAGTATATCTCAGTATCTCCAATTGAACATTTCGAACACCTCAAATCCTAAGAATGATGGATAGATTTGATATTGATATTGATTTTCAAGTGTTCTACAGAGAATAGCTCAATAATCATGTTACTCGGTTACTGCTTGAAATTGATAAACTAATCCTTGCGCTTAAATCTCCATTCCCCTCCAAATTAATAACCAATGCTATGCGCAGCACTTTTTGACCCCCCCATTCATACACAGTCGACAATATACAATCCACCAATTTCACCTCAAATCTCAAATCTCAAATCTCAAACATAAAACATCAAACATTAACAACAATGGCCACCGAACTAGAATTTCCCTGTACACTGTAAGACACTTCCCCCATCCAATCTCCCCCCTCAAACCCCATAACCCTAACCCCTCCCCCAAACAGTACCCTCGATATCCCCCTCCCCACCCCACGCCTCGCATCCGCCGCCCTCTCAGCCCTCTCCGTCGACGCCGAGCTCTCTCCCCTCGTCCGTCGCACCTTCTCCCTCGTCTCCCCCTCTCCAGACTCCTCCTCCGCACCCAAATCCATTCTCCGCACCTCCTACCGCGCAACCACAAACCGCATGTTGCGCGTGGCCGTCAACGGTTTCATGGAGAGTGTATCTGTCGTCTTGGGCGTTATGGAGGAATTAGACGTTGATGTTCTTGAGAGTGGGGAGTCCAAGGCACAAGTTGATTCTTGATGGGTCATGAGATAAATCGCATACACAGATACCTCAGAACCCTTCTCTTCATGACTTGGTAGTTCCCAGATGATTTTTCAGGAAGACAAGATGCAGAGTGACAAAGGGGGAAGGAAATTGAAGAATGGAGAGAAGAAGAGGGGAAAAAGTCGATATATCATTTGGTGGCTTGAAAATCGCATGTCAAGCGCCTAATACACACGCACCCGATATTCATACATCGATCTGTTCCACGACAGGACGGATTCGATGCAGCTATTTACGACGATGTGTTTTTGTCAAGGGTGTACACTCAAAACCATTGGGGATAGTGCATCATGTGGATCATAAGTTAATACATACGTCTATACATACATGCTCGAGAGATATCGAAGCAGGTGCTGCTACCACTCTCATGCCATATATAGCAAAATAAAGTTTCAACAAAGCAGCAAAATACTATGACTGTGTTCAAGAAAATACCTTTGTTCTATAAAAATTAAATACATATCTACAATTACCCATCACTCACTCCACCACCCATTATCACAACCGCACAGCCGAGAATACAATACAGGTAACTGTCATCTAGCGTCTGATTGTGTTGATGTGTATCAAATGCATCATATATATAAAAACGCTAAGTGATAGACCCATATCACGTAGCTTTCCCACCGATTTCCCTCAATATTGTTGTCTCGCAATTAAACTTTTATGTACCTCCCAGACCCAGTCATTCCCAGAAGAAATCTCGACACCTAGAATGCCCTGGAACGTATTCAGCCGTGAAATCAGAAGCTTCGTATCCAGGTATCAATAACTCCGTTCAAAAATCCATGAACCCGTAATTTTGCCTCCCAGAATAAAAGAAATGCCACTGAGAAAGAAGCACTCCAAACCCATTATTATAAAATTTCTTTCTCTACAAGTTTCTGTTCCGCTTCCTCTGCTCTTTTATTGGCTTCGGCCAGAACTTTTTCCAAGTGACTGATGTATTCAATGGCGACTTCGACTGTAGCGGCTTTACTATTTGCACTCTGTCCACCCTTGGAACTTGCGGACTCGTTCTCCCCACCATCACCACTTCCACTCTTGTCTCCCGTAGCATCTTTGGGTTTTCCTCGGGGGTAATATTCGGATGGTATCATATCATGTAATGTTGTAAGTGCTAAATTGATCCGGTTTCGTCTTCCTTGTTCGGCGAGTTTATGAGAAGTGCGTTTCGATGTTAAATTAGTGGATAGTTCCGAAGGATACGAAACGCCAGGAAGATGAGTTCCTTCAAGTATGTTTTGGTAGTTTGACTTCGACGCAAGTAGCAGGGAAGCAGTGGCGTCGTCGTGCATGGATGAACCACCAGGGAGTAATGGTTTAATGCTAGGGGATATCCTAGGAAGAAGAGCCGGTGAAGCAAGAACGGAATTGCTTGCCCTCTTCTTAGCACCTCGTGCTAGCATTTGTGGCGTCTTGCGTGTGGCACTATTTATGGCATCTATCTGAGGACTCTGGCTGGACGATGATGCTGCTTCGGGAAGTGCAACTACTGGCGACGACAGAGGTTTGAATCCAGGAGTTTTGGATCCTGTTGAGCTCAAAGTTGGTGTCATTTGTCCATCGGATTGTGTATCGATACGAGACAATGTAGGTTTTATAGTAGTATTGGCAGCTTCTGGCAATGCGAACCCGTCCAAAACAGGATCATCGAGTTCCATTTCCTGGCTCAGTCCCGACTCAATAGCAGTAGGCGATTTTGTGATTCTCATCAGCGAAGCTGGCGTAGCTGGTGATCCAAGGGGAATCCACTTATTCTTGGCATTGTCCTTTTGTGCTACGACATAGGGTGATCTCCCAGCCGAGCTCGGTAACGGTGGAGGCGCCATATCCGATAGGTGCTCAGGAGATATAGAGCCATTTTCAGAATGGTCGGTGCTTGCTGCTGAGTTCGTTGATCCAGTTCCTTTAGAATGAGACATTTGCGAACTCAATGGCTCAATAATTTCTCCTAGCGCCTGAGCACTCATACTTAAGCTTTTCCTACCTCGACTTGGCTTGACAATTGGCGATTGCCGAACTACACGAGTGTTCACCCGAGGCTTTGGTGCAACAGACTTTCGGGTAGGCTTCCGAGCCGGAATTATAGAGCTCACTGGCGCAGAATGTGAATCACCATTCATGTCAATTGGGGAATCATTTGACCCCGAATGACGATGGTCGAACATGACTTGATGGTCATTTTGGGCGTGTAAAGCTGGGGAGCTCAAGGGACTAAAATAAGCTCCGGGGACAGTGTAATCGGGGATATTAAATTGAGTTTCTAGGGGAGTAACAGCTGGTGACACGAGCGGAGTAAATGCCATCTAACCAGTTTTATTAGTATTTCATTCTTGTACTGATTGAGTTGTGAAACCGTTAAATAAGAACGCGAAAGTATAATCGTTTTGACTAACCTCTTGCTCTCTCAGACGATAGGGCTCATATACAGATGGCGGGTGCTCTGCTGGAGTATAGAAATGTTGATTGACACCATGCATTTCCATACTATTAGGTGTGGGTGGAATCATTCTACTCTGGGCATAAAAGTTCCGCTGTTGTTCCTGCGATTGCCGTAGCTGATGCTCACGCTTCTGCTGTTGCAGATATTGGATTTGCGCATCCAGGTCTGTCAAACTCTCTGTAGAAGTATGTGGTTGTACGATAGGAGTTCCGAGTATGGCCGGATGGGTCGAAGTCGTAGTCATCGAGGGCATATGTTCTTGCATCGTTCCATCATGCCCCATATGATGATTGCCACTCATCCCCGTATTCATTGAACTCATCCCATCTTGATGTAACATCTGTTGACTTTGCGATTGTTGCTGATTGAAATTGAAATCGAACTGGAGGGTATCGGCCATGTTGTGCATGTTCAGGTCAAGGAATTGTTGAAAGTCATCTTGTGAAGGAACGGACAAAGTAGGATCCTGAGCATCCCAAACCCCAGAAGTGTCCATGATTGCGATTGTGATCAATCAATCAATCCCGCCAACTTTGTGCACGAATGCGTTGTGGTTGCACAATAAATGGTCGCAAACTGAGGGGTCCTGGTGAGAACGGTATATGCGCCGTGCGCGGACTATTGAAATTTGATCAGACGAGAGTGCGAGTTGTGTTGATCACCTATATCACTCCATCTGGGGAAATCTGTCGTAGTAATCAAGGTCGGAAAGTTCACAAGCAGGACTTGAGCTTCCGTTTCGACAGTGAGCAAGTTGGGGAACGGGGAATTGGTTGATGGCTAAAGGCTTTCTAGGCGCAATCGCTTTTCAGTGTAAATCTTCTCTCGAGTAATCAAAGAAATACAGGCGACAACAATGTGTATATTGTCTCACAATTCCGTGTTGGCCAAAAGAATATCGATCTCGACCTTGTAGAATGTACCGCCAAGTTCATTCGGTCGTCGTTGAAACCCCGTACTAATTAAGATGGATCGTTTCTTCCCACTTGGGGGGGCTCTTCTCGTTTTTTTTGGAAGTTCAACTAGCACCCACTTCTTATCGCACCAATACTTGGGGGAGCACAGGGAGTGACTTTGTTATTTATGTAATGAGACCGTGCGAACCGTCTTCCATTGGGCAGGTGGTTAAGTAAACGGATGCTTTAGATGTAGAAAAAACAAATATCAACATCAGAATATCAAAAAGTTATTTCTACTTCTTTCCAAACTTAATGATGGGCGAGCAGGGCAGGTCGTAGTCGTTTTGGATTTCTCTAATTGTTATAGGCGATACTACGGATCATTGTGGTGGAGGTGGGATATTACCGATTCGTGCTCGCAATACAATATAAAATCTGTTGCGTAGACATGTACATTGACTTTGGAAGGAATGTCACAAAACAACTCTCTCCATAGATTATCGTCTTCAACACCACGAGTATTGCAAATGGAGGCAAGCGCGGAAAGCAATCATCGGTTGACAATACACTCAACATCAGCTGAACCACTCACATCTTACTTTCCTCTTGAGACAAGGTGACTATGAATACAGAATAATAGCGTTGTGTGTGTGTGTGTGTGTGTGACCTTCTCAATCCTACCCCCCCACGCTCCACGTTTATGCTTGCTTGTGAAAAGTATAGAAGAGGGATTTCCCTTGGATCTCGACACGAAATAAACATTTCCGTCAACAATTCTTTATTCTTCTAGATGAGCAGTTAGATGCTGTATTGCAATCACAACAGGAACATATATCTATATCATTATGCCATGTGAAGTGTAACCCCCGATGGCTCGTTTCTTCTTGGCTGTGAAGACTCTGTACTATTCAAGACCATACATGGCCGAGAAGTCTGTGTAGATGTAAGTAATTAACCAATCAACCCTTCAACCCATCAACCCTCAACCCTTCAACAACCTTCACCAAACCATAAAGCATGTTTCGAGAGAATTTAAACAACCACCAATATCTATAAAGCTCTTCCAATCTTCAAGTCCCCTTCACCAAGAGACAAGTGGTTATGAATCTATTAAATCTATGCATTTCAATCCTCTAAGCGAGCCCCCCCCAATGCAGTGAACCATGTTCCACCTCCAATCATCAGACTCTCCTCGAAGTATTACTACGCCATCATATACCCTCCTTCCCACTCCACTGACTCTCATCATCCCACCACTCCCCAAGAAAGTTCGTACAGGATCCATGCACCAAGCCAACCGGAAGGGATTCTCTGCACCACGGTCATCCAAGGTATTGATGCATGCAAGTAAGATTCCACCCGTGCTTCAGGGTCTTGGAAAGGGCTAAAGAGTCGGATTGGCTGCACAGGGCAGGATGGTCGAATAAACTTCGTCGAGATAGTTATAAGCAGCCAACGAGACATCATGTTTTACATTCATCCGGCAAATGTCTGTTTGTTTTATTTCGGCTACGAGGAAACACATTCAGGATGCCTATCAAATTCCTGTTCCGGGTGTAAGATCCCCTCCTACAGCTTAGGGCATCGTTCATTTGGCCAACCAGACGCTCTTCAACGCATGCTAGGTCTGTGAAATCGAAGCTCCCATGATCAATATCAGCCCTACCTTGATCTCACAATACGACCCAATGGAAACCTCTAAGGACATGTGAATCTTCCATAATGGCCAGCGACACCTGGCGTTAGATAGAACATCATCTCAATATGTTGCTTTCTCTCAAACCACTCTTCGTATGTTTTGATCTCGTCATATGCATCCACAACCACATCGCATCCATAATTGTTCTAGAATCCCATCTCCTTCTCCCCAATTCACCTTCAAACCACCCACCATCCTCCCATTCCAAGTATTTCAATCCCTCCCTCCTCATCCCATCTCCCCATAATCCCACCATACCAACTCCCAAGCACCCAGTACCCAGTAACCAGTACTCAACCTCTCACTCAACCTTCCACTCTATCCACCAACCCCACCAAATTCCTTTCTTCACTCTTCCCACCTTCCCACCTTCCCACCTTCCCACCTTCCCACCTTCCCACCTTCCCACCTTCCCACCTTCCCACCTTCCCACCTCCCCCTTCCACCCCCTAACCCCCACGACCACAAACCAAGCATTCCCCTCCCCCTCCCAAAGAAACCAACTATACAATCCTTCATCGCATCACACTACCAAACCAACAAACAGCAGATTTATCTTTCCCTTTTCCAAATCCCGCACACCGCCCATCAGTGTACATCCGTCTACACCCCGTAGAACACGGCCTTCCATTCGATTCCAACTTCAACTCCAACTCCGATCCCAACATCATTTTACTATTACACGCCACCAGCCTATCAGTCGAGCAAGCTCAGAAAATGTCACTCACCAATCGAGACACCTGAGAACCACATAGTCACTTCAAAGTCATGTATAAATCTCCAGCCCTTTCCACCTGGTAAACGGGGAATTTCCAAATTTGATCAAGAGAACCCACCAAATCACTTTCACCGGTAGATCTCCTATACTTTACTTTGTTGTGCATGCTAACTCACATGCAATTCATCTCACATTGCACTATCATATCATCGACTTTTTGTACTGGTTTTATGGATTTGCTACTTTTTTTTAGTCTAATCGATTTGATAAAAAAGTGCCAGGCCGCAACCTATCAACAACCGGGAAATGACATGTGGAAGTGGTCTTCAACAAAAAAATGGAAAAAGGAAAAGAGATGTTGGGCGATCGAGAGACATTCGCAAAATAGCGAAAGGATGTGTGGAAGGGAAAGTACAGTATGGTTTGATGCATTAAAGAGTCTAAAGGCAAGCAAGTTGCGAGTGAGACCCCCCAAAAGCTCTTTATGAAGCTCGTCCTCTGCTCATCTCGCCTGCCGAAACATGCAAAACCCAATCGTAACCTCCATCGCTCGTACGCCCATTCGACCAAACATCAACGCCATATCCGATGATCCTCTATTCAGCAGCTGGCTTCTCCTCAGCTGGTGCAGCGGCCTCGGCTTCCTTGGCCTCAGCAGGTGCAGCAGCGGACTCTGTAGTAGCTGGCTCGGCCTCTGATGAAGTCCAGAGGGTCTAAATAGGTTCATTTTGTTAGTAATAGAACTTGAAATCGTACCGCGTCGTGAGAATTGTTTTACGTACCAAGTTATCTCTCAAGAGTTGCATGATCAATGTGGAGTCCTTGTAGCTCTCCTCACTAAGGGTATCGAGTTCTAAATACGGTTAGATCACTTGTGTATGTTTTTGATACAATGAGACTTACCAGCAATGGCATCATCGAAGGCTTGCTTGGCAAGATGGCAAGCTTGATCTGGGGAGTTCAAGATCTCGTAGTAGAAAACGGAGAAGTTGAGGGCAAGACCAAGACGGATTGGGTGTGTTGGTGCAAGGTCAGTTTGAGCAACTTCGGTTGCATTCTTGTAAGCCTCAAGAGACTTGTCGGCAGACTCCTTTCGCTTGTCACCAATGGCGAACTCAGCGAGATAACGGTGGTAATCACCCTTCCTGTAATATCGTTAGCAAGAGATTTTGAATGAAATTTATTGCTCAAAAGACAAATTACATACATCTTGTGGTAGAAGACTTTAGATTCACCGCTCTTGGCAGAAGGAATCAAGTGTTTGTCCAAAACCTCGAGGATATCTTCGCAGATCTTGGCAAGTTCGGCTTCAATCTTTTGACGGTACTCCTTGATGAGAGTAACCTGGGATGAATTGCCTTTTGACTCCTCCTTTTGTTCAATGGAAGTGACGATTCTCCATGATGCACGACGGGCACCAATAACGTTTTTGTATGCAACAGACAAAAGATTACGCTCCTCGACGGAGAGTTCTTGGTCTTCAGAGGCGACGGACTTCATGTTCTCGACCATCTCTATTCCTACTGTTAGTATTCATACGCTTCGATCAAAGACCGTAAATCTGCATACCTTCATATCGCTCAGCCTGCTCGGCGAGCTTGGCGAGATAGACGGAATCTTCGTAACCCATGACTGCGATTTGTAGATCTGTTGAGATAGATTTGTTAGTTATCGTTTGCTCAAAACTAAAGGTTGTGTTTCTTGTTGTTGAAATGGTCGAAATCCAATAGACAATTGCGACTGTGCTAGTGTTTGACGTGACTGGGCTGTCACCGATATTTGGCCCGACCACTTCTGCATGCGCCAAATCTCCATCTGCGAGTGAGAACACGCCAATCGATGCAGTTTACTATGTATGATGAATTCGAGGGTTGATTTGCTGAAGGCAAAAGCAACAAGTACCCCTCAGTCTTTCGGAGGGGCAATGGTGAAAGGCGAAGAGTCGTTGAATGATTGGTGGTTTGCAAATGAATGGAAAAGTCCACCCTTCGAGTCGAGTAGACAAGGACCATATGATGTAGCACATAGTGATTGTTTGTTGATGGCGTTGGAAGATGGAGATATTGGGCAGAGGGAGAAAACAGATGACGGATCCAAAGGCTTTGAGGGGAAATGAAGATCTTACCTGAGTATCTTTTTATGATATTATTTTAAGTCTTTAGGAAAGAGATCTCACAAACTGAAATGGGAAGAAAAACGTAGGATGTTATGCGACGTGGGAAATGTGTTTGTGTGTTGGTTTTGGTTCTTGGGATGGTTTTCTCGATTAGAGAAAGTGGTAGGTACCGTAGGCCGTGAGGAAGTTGCTGGAAGGACGCACTAGTGCCACTTTTAGAAGATGGGAAGCGATCTGCGAGGTAAAGGGAATGAATGAATGAATGTGAACGGATAACGTCGAGATCGTAAAAGGGGCTCAGTGTTTTATGTATTATTCTGTAAAATTACTTGGATGGTATAAATTCAATTTATTAATTCCTTCATGAGGGGGAGAGGGGAAAGAGTTAATTGGAACAAACTAAATCAGAAATCAACTTCTTAAGTGAATTCATCTACTGTATGTACGGGCAAAATGGTTGAGATTCTTTTCTTTTGACTGTTGTTCATGCGTTATATTATGTGGGTTTCGGGGTATCTAGACGCTTGAGTTGAGTTGAATCAGACAACTCTTTTTCCAATATAAGAACACTGAGCATTGAACAATCTTCATACAAATGACATCTCAAGGTCCCCCTTTTTATTGTCTTTATAGTCGTCTTCCTTACGCAAGATCTAAGAGGCAGAGAGGGAGAGCGAGACACGAGACACGAGACACGAGACACGAATACCAATACTACCATATGTGTGAGAAGTCTTGACATGTATATACTTCCACATCTCCACTGTTAGCCAACGAGGCAACCCAACCCAGCCCAAGTATAAGAGTCAGAGATGTTCGGCTCGAGATGCTTTCCATGCAGTTCAACAGGGCTGATGAATACTCTGTAGATGCCTGGTTCATCTTGCTGGACTGGACCAATCTTGGTTAATGGTAGATTCAGTTCGTTAAAAGTGGTTATCCGTCGCATGAATGTAACATGATTTGACCTTGACCCAGATTTGCATTGTCACGAATTTTAAATTTGTCCGAAGATGGAAGGCTTTTTGGTCATTTGCTCGAGGTGTTGGGCGTTTCTGTTTCTGTTTCCATCCCCTAACCCTTTCCTTTCCCTTTCCTTCCTTTCCAAGTAATGTGAACTGACTTTTGGCGATTGTGGCAGTGCTAAGAAATGAGGTCTAAAAGCATAGACGTTCGGTTCTGCCTTGGTTTCTGGCATCTGGAATGGCATTTATTATTAGTATTACCGCTGCGTTGTGCTTGGTGTTAGACCGTCCACAAGCACAAGCACAAGAGCACAACCTTATTATAGCTGTTTCAATATCGGTACATCGTCAATGGAGTTCTACATAGTCAAGTAGGCTTGAGTAGATGTTGTATTCGACACCGAGTATGTTCTGTTCTTCAATCGATACCCACAACCCGGTTGATTTCTGTCAGAGTCCGATATACCTAGATCCTACTTCCAAACAGGTATGAGAGTTACGAATTTCAGGAATGCTGCCCAGGTAGGTAGTGGGGCAGAGTAGTATTATTTATAGAGTACGGAGTGGTTCATAACACAAGTCCACTGTGGTTAGATAGGTAGGTAATATCACAGTAGTAAATCAACAATCGAGCAAAGCAGTATCCAAGTCCTTCAAGTTGAAACTTTGCCGTCTCTAACAAGAGTACAGTGTAGTCCATCACATGAAATTGATATACGGAGTAGCTGGAGGTTTTTGATTACCTAGCAGCAAGAAGACATATTCATGCCACTTTAGTCGTGCTCTGTTCATTTTTCGGTGAATGAGCACTCGTTCTGCGCACATTCATCCCCACATACCTTTAAAGCAGCCATGATTCCCCATTCAAAACAGCTGATCATGACGATGACCTGATCTTGACCTGATCCTTCCCCTCACAACCTCGATTTCAAGGCACAATTACGTCTTTCACATCCAAGAGTTTCTATCCAAGCTTCCAGCCCGCAAGCTACTTCAGCATCATCCAGCAAATCATTTCATAAAGAATCATACCACCAATTGAACAACCCCTCAAATACATCCGTCATCTTTCTACCTTCGAAATACCACCACGAGAAAAAAAACCTCAAATATAATCATCATCATGTATCGTCTTGCAATCAACTCTGCCATGCGACCAGCAGTCCGCACATCCATCCCAGCTGCTAGAGCATTTACTGTATCAGCACGCACAATGGGCGAGGGAGACACCGGCGCTGCCAGATTTGGCGGCCAACAGTAAGTTTTCCATCCCTTCCGATGCTACCACTTGACTATCCTCGCGATATTGAGTTCCGCAAAGGAAAGGGTAAGCTCCCATCCGCATTTGCAGCTACAGAACTAACAAACTCTTCTCCAGAGATGCCTTTACCAAACGCGAAAAGGCCAATGAGGATTACACCATCCGTCAGCGCGAGAACGAGAAACTTTTGGAGTTGAGGAAGAAAATTACCGAACAACGTGATCACTTGAAGAAACTCGAGGACCACATGTAAGAATGCCCTTCTCACCTCATACCACCCTCTACCCCCTCTCTGTCCCCAATTCTGCATCCATACTCAATCCACTCATACTAATCTCTTCTCCCTCCAGTTCCGAAATCGAGAAGCAATCTGGTGGCGAACAGAAGTAAGTATACACATACTTTTAGAAAAAACTTCGAGCTTTCGTCCATATATCCATAGTCAGAATTTGAGAAGTACTGTTTTCCGTCGATGGACTCCTCTCTTCTCTAAATGCAATCAAGTCTTTTAATTCCCATCCCCTCTGTTTCTCTTACCTTTTTCTCTCTTTGCAGAATTAAAGAAAGAAGAAAATACTAAATGCTTTGGTTCATTACCAGCTAAATCAACTTGAAAATTTGCAAAAATAAAAAAACTTCATGTGTGGATGGGCGCGGGGGAAGGGGGGAAGGGGATCGTTTAAGTCGAGCAAGACTGAACAAAATGAGATATGATATCAGGATTGTGATGAAATTATGGTCGTTTATAGTTGGTGAAATTATTGATTGTATGATACGATCATTGCCTCTCAACGTGGTTGCAGAATTCCTACGTGTGTCAAGCCAAGTTAATCCCATTTTATGGAACAAAATTGGTTATGAGCTTGATCAGTTTCTATTCTTTCTTGCTTCATGCTATCTATTATACACAAAAATGCTCATTAGAACACTCCTGCTCCGGTTCTTACATCCACGTACTCGCCGCCTTGAGATATGTGAATCCTTTTGTATCTCTCTTCTCTCCTCAATCATTTATTGAAGGCTTGCGGTATTCGGTCTTCCATGTTCATTATCCACATATGCTCCCCTCAAAATAGACCATCCATGCATGAATTTGCAAATGTATTTCCTGCCAAATCAAAACGCCCAAACATCCATTCAGCACGCCAGTACAAACTTGTCGGCCTCTATTTTACCTGCTTTGTCAAGCTTTATTCTTCAACCTCGGCCCTTCATCTTCTGCCCATAAAAGATCTATAGAAGTGATCTGCGGCATCACCATCCGCTCCACCAAGACCATTTGCACTCATACTTTGTCCCAATTTGTGCGCCGCCTCCACTTTCTCTTGTAGTGTTTTCGCATTCTGATCAATCCATTGTAATTGCATGAGATGTGAATTAAGGACTCGGACGATATGGGAAAGCTGTAGGCACATTTGATTAGTGGAATCCTTTATAAACCTGATGTATAGATTAAAGTAACTTACTGGATCATCAGACTTGGTGCTCTTGTTCAAAGTAGCAGATGCCTCATTCATAGCTTCAATCATAGTAGAAAGATCTTTGCCCATTTCATCAAGTTTGTCCGCCAATTTCTCCGCCATCTTATAGGTTCTCTCACGCTCCTGATCTGGTCCTTGTAGTGTTTCAACAGCTGTATTTTTGAACATTTCATCAACCTCCTGTTCGTAACGATCGAGCCACTGTTCAAGTTCGGCTTGCTGGCCCTCCACCGTTGCTAGTTGTCGTTCGACTTCTGCGCTTGATCGTTCAGCCTCAAAGGTAGTATTGTATAGTTTTTGAATCTTATCTCCATTCTCGACCAAAAGACGATCCCACTGAGCTACCTTGGTTGCTTGTTCTTGGAATTCCTTCTGGTATTTCGCTAAATCAGATGCCCATCGGGTGATGATTTCATCCATAGTTTTGTTCTTAAGACGAGATAATTCCGGTCTTGGGCCAGCCGTAGAAGCTCCTAGAGATGCTGCGTTTCCTGCCGCCCCAGAGCCAGCATTTGCTCCGGCTCGTTGATCTAGATTTGCAGAGCCCGCATTTGCGGTCGATGAGGCAGGAGCAGGAGTGCTGGTGTTGGTTGGGCCAGAAGTACCGGGAGTTGATGATTTAGCTGCGCCAAACAAACTTGATGTTGTAGCAGCCGGTGCAGGAGTGGAAGTAGTTGCAGCACTAGTAGGAGCAGCGTTTCCAAAAAGCGATGGTGTTTGCGCTGGGGCAGATGCAGATGGCGCGGGTGTAGATGTAGCTGGATTGGGTTTTCCAAACAGACTGCTGGTAGCAGAAGCTGCGGGAGCGGGAGTGGTAGAAGCTTGTGTTCCAGGGGTGCTAGCTGCTGGAGTAGCAGAAGGGAAGCTGAAAGATGGGGCTGGCTTAGCAGCTTCTGTAGTCGCCGCAGGTGTCGAACTGGCAGGGGGAGCTGCTGAAGCAGTAGGCTTATTTCCACCAAACATGTTGCCGCTAGGCGCAGCAGGCTTTGTAGCACCACCACCGCCGAACAAGTTGCTAGTAGGAGCTGCAGCTGCAGGAGTGCCGCTGGAAAAAAGACCACCAGTAGGGGCTGGTGCAGCGGGTGTCTGTGTGGGTTGTGATGCGGCTGCTGGTTTTGGTGTTCCGAACAGACCTCCAGCTGATTGTGATTGAGCACCTCCGCCAAACAAGTTACCTGTGCTCGCAGCCGGTGCATTATTTGTAGGTGGTGGTCCTGCTGGGGTTGTGGATGCAAAACTGAAAGGCTTGCTTGGTGCTGGTGTTGTTGATCCTAGACTTGGGGTACTCGAAGCTGCTCCTCCAAACATACCACCTCCTGCTGCTGGCTTGTTCATTCCTGAAAACATACCCCCCGTAGGAGTTGCGGGTTTATTCTCCGTTGTTGGCGTTGAAGCACCATCTGGCTTGGGCCCTCCAAAACTAAAACCTCCACTTCCACCTGCAGCTGCACCTCCTCCACCAAAAATTCCACCTCCTGCTGAAGTTGTAGGTGTGGTGCTAGCAGCAGGCTTTCCAAAACTGAAAGAAGACGTGGCATTGGGGGCATTTCCTGTGCTTTGGCCAAAGATACCTCCAGCGGCTGGCTTTGCAGCTCCTGTGTTTGATGCTCCTGCTCCTCCAAAGACCGGTGCTTGTGCTCCAGCTGGTTTTGGTGCGCCGAATAGAGATGATGGTGCGGCCCCAGATGTAGCTGGCGCACCTCCAAATAGTCCAGCTCCAGAGCTATTAGGAGGGTTGCTAGCACTTCCCCCACCAAACAATCCCCCGCCGGAACTTCCAGTGTTGCCGAATGTAAATCCAGACATCTTGTAGATATTATTGTTGAGCTTTAAAAATAGGGATGCGAATCGAAACCGAGGAAGGAAGATTTTCCGATGTTGTTGATTGTTTATACCAGATCAGAAGCTGATTATTTGTAAGGGAATCGAGATGATCAGCAATATAATATTCTTCAATGTTAAATTGAATTGAGGTACAGCTTCTGCAATAACCGAATTGATTTAATCAGCCTTGCGCATTTCAAAGCGCGTGAAATTGAAGTCTTTTATCTTTCTTAGCCTTTCCCAGCGCGACTTTTTGGTACTGTATCGCGCCTCAATCAAAAATTAAGCGAGTGAACAACAGAATGATCGGAGCTCTTGCTATCATTGACCGAGAAGGGAGCAGTTGTCATTGTTCCCCCTTTGGATTAGACTTTCTCTTGTTCACTACTCAGTCTACATTGCCAACACGTTAATCGTACCTCCAGACCATTTTGTCTATTGACTTAGATTTTCTATCGAGGTTATCGCTGATATCTCGCTGGTATCATCAATCATGGCTGAGGAAGACCACGGAAGTCTAGAACCTCCTACAAGGACTAGCATTGAGGACCCAGGCGCACACGAACTTGCAGGTAAGGCCGACGAAACTAAGTTTCAACACTCTCTATTGTTTTTGCGACGATGAGGATAGAATGGTCTTAATGCAGAACATACCCTCGGAAGTTTACATAAATTGATTTGTTCTAACATTCTTGTTACTTAGAAACTGTTGAATCTTCGGATTCCGAAGACCATTTTTCAGATGCACACTCTGGTCTAGAACCATCCACTGCAGCCTCACCCACTGTCCCCACTACTCGAATTGAGAAAGTCGACGATGAACCAAGTTATGGAGAAGTTCCGGGCACACCAGCATATAATATGAGAGCAGAGGATGCTGAGCCTGATCAGGTTGCAATGGCTCCAGAATTTGATAGTATCGCACGAGCTCGACGACCTTCAACTCCGGGTGACTTACCCATTCCCATCACTGTCGTTGAGAAGATAGACCCCGATACTCCTAGCCATGGAGAAGTCCCGGGTACCCCAGCGTATGAAAAGCGTAAAGCTGACGCAGTCCCGGACTTGGTCTTGGACTCAACTCCTGGTCGCAGTCGCTCCAATACTCTTAACACGACTGGTATAACGAGATCAAGAGCTGGTAGTACACCAGGGGACTTACCAATTCCCAAGACTGTAGTTGAGAGGATAGACTCTGAACCAAGTCATGGCGAAATTCCCGGTACCGCCGCATATGAATTACGAAAGGAAGACGCTCAACCGGACGACATAGTTGAGGTAGCTGATGTACCTGGTATGTATTAACAATGGTTTCCAAACACCTTCAGAGTTATTGACTGAGTTAGAATCTAGCTCCCCGTCCTTAAGTCTACGACGTCAAAGCTCTTCGGCGGCAGCGAGCCAAGCCGTAGAAGAAGAATATAATGAAGAAGAAGACGGAGATGATGGTCATGGTGGAGATGGTGGAGACGATGCAGACGATGGCGGTTTTGGGGATGATTTCGATGATTTTGAGGAAGGAGAGGAAGATGCAGAGTTTGGTGATTTTGATGATGGATTTCAAGAGCCTGAAGTAACTCAATCTTCTCTACCAATTCCTGTAGTTCCTTCTTTTGTAAGTAGTCGTCTACTTTCCGTATGCAACAATAGTACACTCAGTCCTAACATAAGTATTTTGTTCAGCCCACCTTTGACCTGACAGATCTCAATGCCCCCGAGGATATTCGCTCTGCAACAGAACCCTACCTCGACCATATATTCCCCTCCGACACAATTGACATATCAGTCCTCCCACCTCTTGAAAATCCGAATCCCATATTCCTCACACCACGATCCGCATCACTCTGGTCACAACTCGTAGCTCCACCACCCCTTCAGCCACCAAATTGGATTCGATCCCGTATTCGTCGTCTTTTCCTCGTCAGTCTAGGTATTCCCGTATCTCTGGATGAAATCCTTCCAGCTTCCACACAAAAGAAACTCATCCTCCCCTCCCTATCCTTGCATCCATCATCCTCTGGCTCTCTCGACAGTTCCATAGATCGTATCAAATCCTCTTCTTCTACTTCCCTTGACTCACAAGGCAATGTCAAGCCTGCTCGCTCTGACAGTCGACGCCGAAAGGGTCCTCCACCTGCCCCTCAATTAGATTTAGTATCCGCACGTCAAACATGTGAGATTACTGAAGAAGCTCTACAAGGCTTAACAATGGATGAGTTGAAAGGACACGTGAAAAAGCTAGAGGAAATGGAAGTTTTAGCGAAAGAAGTATTAGACTATTGGACGATGAGGACTGATGAAAAGCTAGGCGATAGGGAGGCCTTTGAGGGGGTTATTGAGAATCTGGTCAAGCATGCTAGGAAGGTTAGGAAGTGATGATCTTTTAATTCTTTTTAGACAGTGCTACACAATACATTGAGTGATCAATATTATTTGTATCGAGTCTTTTATTCTATGGACGAATCAAAATTTTCATGCTAGGTAACTGAGCAAATGAGCCATAACATGAACACTTTCTATTCTCTGAGATCTTGCTGGTGATATCATAATCTTATCCTCCGCCTTGATCAAATCGATTCTGGTATTCTAGCTCCTTCTTTCAAACTGTGTCCTTGATAAACTGTAACATGTTACACATCCCACTGATGCCCCTGAAGCTTTACCTGCTCTTCCAGTATCTCCTATCTGCTGACCAGATTTGCACTCCCGAAACAGCTGCGTACTCTCCAAATACCGCATCTCTTTCTCTTCCTCTTTCATCTCACGTCCTGATTACCATTGACTTCCATTGCTAACGCATCTAAGCTTATACTTCGTGCCTGATCCTTCCTCTCTATTGATCGATATAGATAGACAACTGAATTTGCACATTCCCATTTGCGTAAACACACACATCACCTTTCTCCCTCAAAAACCCACATCCTCATCCCCTCATTCCCCCCTCCAACCCCCCACATCCCTTCCTCTAACAACGCCATCCCATCATATTACATCTCCCCACCCCCCAAGAACACATTCCTCTCACCATCTCACTCCGCAAAGAGCCAAAGAACCAACGAACCAAAGAAATGCCACGACTTCTACTTCCCACTTTATATATATATATATATATATATTACACACTACACACTACACACTACACACTACACACTACACACTACACACTACACACTACATATTACACACTTTCCCCATGCACACTACATATCTCCACATTTCCACATTTCCACATCTTCATACCCGCATATCATAATATCATTTCCCCTCTATTCCCCTCCTCTCTCTGTCTCCCTTCCCTCCCACTGCGCCTCTCCCTCCCCCTCCCCTCCAACGATATAACACAACACAACACAAACTTTTCAAGATTCTTCCAGCTGCCACCATCACAAATTATCAAGAACGAGAGATATATGAGTTTTGGTTTCAATTCAAGGGAGCTACCTAGGTATGCATAAAAGTAGGATTGGGAATGAGAATGGGAATTGAAACTTGGAATTTCCAGATATCAAAAAGTAGAAGGGATGAGTGTTGGCATGAGGAAAATGACCCATGTCCATCCGCTTTACCTCGCAGCTACCATTTCTCCTTTTAAACAAGCTTAACTCTACATGTGATGGCGCGGAGTCCCAAGCAAAGTCATATTGCATACACATTCACAAATCACCATGATTAAAACCAAGCAGATCTTGACAAAAGACAACGAATGAATCTCTTAATTCTTGACTAACAGACGACACGCGTTCCACATCTCAAACCAGCCCGTAAATTCCTTCAACCAATGCCTAAAAGCTTTCTCGCTGATGAACCACTGCAACTATATTTATACGATGCTACGCTGCACCATGCCATTCCCGAGAAGATTTCAAATCAAGAGAGGTAAAATAAATATCAAGCCCTCCGACGAAGACCACGCAACAACATGATCCATCAATCCATCCATCAACTTTTCCCGAAAGCCCGAAATGCCACTAACATACTAGTGTAAATTCCATCAAAGAAGAAGAGTAAAGACGTAAAAGATCCTCCGTCGCGGCTATGTACTGGAAAGAAAGAGATTCGAAAATAGAGAAAGACCACGTAGTAAATTAGATGAATATCACGCCGCACACCTAAAAGCAATGCCGTCCAGGCCCCCATCCATGCACGCAAGAGTGGTATCATGATCGATGTACTATAATGCACCAAGCCATGACGCCTTTCCATTTTCGCCAAGGTATGTATCGAGGTAATGTAATTTGTAAGTAAAGCTCGCTGGGAAATTGTCATCGAATTGTGAGACGTTTCAGAGTCGTGAATTGTCGAAAGTGGTAAACGAAAGGAAAAATTGGGTAAAATTCAAAAGAAACCATAACCATAAACCATAAAAGCCGAGTCATCCACCATTATTGTTGTCAATCCCATGAAATTGAGAGCAAGCGTCATTAAAGTATCCTAGATGCAGCAGGGTATCTTGCAGTAGTGTAAGAGAAACCAATGAAAGATCGAAGAACCCAAATCGTAGAAGTATGCCGAAGGGTATCCGCGAAAGACGACCAATTTGAGAAAGACTGCGCGCGACTATAGTTACTTAGGCATAAGGAGCTTGATTACTAAAGCCACCGTTAGCAATCGGACCACCGGATGGTTGTTGCTGATGTTGGTATCCAGCGTTATAGGCGGCGGCCGGTTGTTGGTGACTCTGTTGACCTGGTCTATTTTAAACACATTAGCAAAATGCCATGTTGGATATGGACGTCGAAAAAAAAAGCAGCATGGAAATAGTAAGAAATGAGTGTTTATCCGATACTTCAGATGATGAAATAAGCAGTGCCTCAAGCTAAGGATAAATGCTACAAGTCCAGTAATTTGAAGTTAATCTTTGTAGGGAGATTTTTTTATCATCGCACAGGCAACAGCACAAAACATAGGGATGATACATAACAAGTGTATGTGACCAAAAAGGAAACAAATGGTCTGCAAAATCAAATAATGGATGAAGAATACATTTGTAATCGAGTCCGCACAAGCCGCGATACTCCTATTTAAAAAAGAGAGTCTAAACTTTTGAGCTTTTGTGGATAAAGTCCAGAATAGGAAAAAGCTGCTTCAATGCACGAGTGCAAAGCTGCCCAAACAGATCTCGTCGACGATTAAAAATCCGCCAGTGGAAAAAGATAAGTGAGCAGACTAAGCAGCAGAGCAGTGAGATTACATGTGTAGAAGGAAAAAAAGAGAAAGCGAAGATCGTGGTCGCATGAAAAGTCTATGCTTATACATGGGCATCATTGGAAAACGCAGATTCCCACCCATCCGATACTTGAAGTAACGCTAAGACGAGAAAGAGTTATCCAGGCGTTGGACGCGAAGAAGTAAAGCCCCGAAAAATGGCAAGCCCAGTGCAGAAAGACGCCATGCTACACTAAACTCCATTCGCGAAAGAAGATGTATGCTTACTACAAATTGTCAGCTTGAAAGTGTATTGAAGGAGGCACAAATCTTACCTGTAAAGGTTGGAAACCATTGTAAGGGTTATGCTGTTGTGGCATACCCATCTGTTGGTAGTGAGGAGGTGGAGGAGCAGGTCGGTATGGGGTTCCGGCTGGTCCGGAGTTGTTTTGGGAACGTCCCCAAGACAAACGAACACGAGAGTTGCCAATTGGGTAGCCTTGCATCTGATTGATGGCCATCTCAGCAGCGTGTCGTTGAACAAATTGGACAAATCCGCAGCCCTTTCCGGGTGGAATCTTGACGTAGGTAATTTCCCCGAATCCTTGGAAGAAAGATCTGAGTTCGTCTTCGGTGACGTAGCCAGATAAACCACCGACGAACACGGTTGTGTTGTTTGGATCGGTAAATTGATTCATTGGTTGAGGAGTACCATAGTATCCAGCCATTGGTGGGCCACCACCCATTCCATACATGCCTGGGGCACCTCCCATGGCACCGGGCATACCACCAGCACCGCCGCCTTGCATCTGCATACCTGCTGGTCCAGCACCGCCAGACTTGTTCTTGGGTGTGGCAGTGCTAATGCGCATGGGTCTGTTGCCACAGTAAACACCCTGCATCTCAGTCAGAGCACGTTGTTGGTCGCCCTCTTCGGCGAAGCGAACAAAGCCATAGCCACGGGACATTCCAGAAATGGGATCTGTCATGATCTTGGCTGATTTGCAAGAGGGAAATCTGGCCTGGAACAATGACACAAGGACGTATTCATTTACCTCGGGGCCAAGATCGCCAACAAAGATAGAGAATTCTGGTCCACGGTCATCACTGTAAATAGTCAGCAAATCATTCAAGAAAGCGCAAAGCAGAGGAAAAGAGGTATATGAACCGGGATTCTGACCGACGATCGGCAAGACCACCACCTGAGGCCCAGTTGAGCTTGAATGGTCGAGTGGTGTTTGGAATCATGGATCCGTTCAAGGATAAAGCCTTCGCAGCAGCAGCTGGGGAAGTGAAGTCGATGAAACAATAACCGGCGTTTCTAAATTGATGGGAACACAGTTAGACAATACTTCTTGGTTGAAAGTGTGGTATCGATGAGAATGACTTACCCAGAGAATTTGTCACGAATCATCTTGACATTAACTTGCTCGCCCATTCCGAACCAGACGCTGCGGATGAAGTTCTCGTCGATCCATGGCTCAAGCTCACCCATCCTATTGTAATGTGTTAGTAGAGATCAAATCGTAGACCGACTGTGTGAAGAATTTGGTGTTGATCAAAAGCAGTACAACAATACAGCAATGATCATAACCATGATGTAGATCGGATCAAAAAGATGTGCAATCTTGCAAATGAATTGAACTTATAGATCGAGTACATTTACGGTCTGGCACCACGCAATGCGGCGTGCAAGACATAAATATGCTCGATCTATGATCAAGACATAGAAGCAACGAAGAAGGGAAAGAGGGAAGAGGAATGATAAAGCCAGTGATAAGATCACAAGAGATCAAATCGAGCCAAAATAGAAGAGAAACTTGAAACTTACCAGAGGGTTGTCTTTGCATCTCCTGTGACGCTGCCTGAAGAGCCTTCAACGCCGGCACCTTGCTGCGCAAATGGAGCTGGTGAGCCACCGTCGCCGGCAGGCATGCCACCTTGCTGCTGCTGTTGTTGCTGCATTGGTGGTGGTGGCATAGCACCGTTACCGTTATTCTGTTCGTAGCCACCTTGTTGGGCAGGATCGTAAGGTTGTTGTTGTTGGAAAGACATTGCGAAGATCGATCTGTTCACAAGAGAAGGTTTGGTTTAAGGGAGAACAAAGATATAAAGAAGGAAGCAAAGTATTGCCGCGTTGTGGTTGCGAAAAAGTGTGTTGTGGTGTAAGTTTAAAAGTAAGAATTCAAGAACGGGGACCGTTGAAATAGCTTCAAAGATCGGCGTAATCTAATTCACTTAAGGTTAGCTTATGGTCAACGGGCTAGAGTTACGCTAGTGTGCAGGTTACGGCAGACCCCAAAGATTAGTGTTAACCATATGATATCGTTCCTGGTTGTGATTCACGCTCTTTCAATATGAGATCAGTAGGATTGAGAGAATGTCTGAGAATGCTGGAGAGAAAACTTGGATTGGACGTAACTGTTATCTTCCTGAGTAACTTTGCTGCAGAGAAAAAGTTGATAAAAGGACATTTTTTCAAGAGAAACATCCGGAAACGTTCGGAATGGTGAACTACTCGGCCGGGCAACCAACAATTAACTTATCATACACTTGAATTTAGAAGTTGCCATTGGGGCTTTGCACAAAAGAAACCAATCATAAGATCCATCAATTTAAAAACTTTCAGTTTACTGTGTTGTGTTGATGGAGTCTGTCACAGTTCCACCATGACAATACCACCAAACAAGTAACACCACCCAACAAACTTCAGTGATGTCTTTTCATTATAATACTGGTAGTGAAGTCTCTGCACAACGAATTCACCTTGTCATATAACAAAGGTCCAGTGTTGACTCAACAATATCCCCACATCAATTGCTCAGCAAAGCAATGAATTGTCACAGCCAACCACAAGACGTCTTTTATTACTGATGAGATGAGAATGGCAACAAAAAAGGCCACCACCATGATTCATTGTATCCAGACAGCAGTCAACTGCCACAACCTTGGTGAGCTAGTGACTAATATGCCCATCTGCATATCTGCCAACTTGCTGTCACATGAAAACTACTTTCGTAACAGGCATATGTTCCATGAATCCACTGCCTAACTCAAGAGCAGACTGGTTGGGGCAGATTGGTGAATACGTTCTAGTCAATCTCTGGCAAGCTAAGTGGGCTCATGGGTTAAATGTGTGTTTTACTGACTTTTTATTTTCCAGCAACTGCAAGCCCCTCTACCGCAGCTTTAGAATATATATTGGATACATGAAGTCCGTAGACTGGAATGATGGAGGATTATCATAACGCAAAGGAAAAAGCAATAAATGAAACAAGGTGCAGGGGGGTCAACAGAAGTGCAAGTGCAGAGCTATGCCATCGCCTCAAGAGCACAAAACCATGCCCCGTTAGAAAGTGCCTAGAATACAGTGCTCCAACTTCAACCCACCGGGGCGTTGGGATCAAGACATACAAATGAAAACGGGATTAAGGAGAGCTTCTCAGACATGCCCGGCTTGCGCTGGAGCAGAAAAACAAAGAAAAGGATGAGTAAGGCACTGAGATGGAGCTTGCCAGTACTGCTGCAGCTTTGGCCCCCGGGTACATTATAAAAGCGCTCGCTAACCATTACGTTAAAGTTTAGCAAGGTGTTATGCCACTCAAGCAGAAGTCCATCGTGAACTTTCCAAGATGTTACGCTTCTCATAGTGAAGCACCCCTTGGGACAACCACTAGAACGAAACCAACCCTGCTCTTGAAAAGAAATTGGACCAGCGTCACTCTCGATATTAACAGTAGGAAAATCTGGGGCATGACTCCACCATATGGGGTGGGGGGGCAGGGGGAGGGGGCAGGGGCGGGTGTATGATCCGTGTTGTCTCTTGAGAATCTGATTTAGGGCTGAGGGTCATGTATAACCGCAAAACTACAAAGGGTTATGACAGCTGAAACTTGAGCTAGGTAAGAGCGTCTTGTGGCCCCTACAGAAGACGGTATAGGACACAGATGGCGAATTTGGGCGAGGCAACAAGCCTTGCTTGATGCAATACAAAATCCCACCCTATCCAAGAATTCTCAAAGTCTACCCTTGTGGACAGCTGCTGCGAGAACTGCTCACATTGCCACTATAGTCGGTAACCAACTCACACCACTCTTCCCAACATTATTGACTCCCTATCATTGTGGCGGTCCGAAGAAATAAGGTAACAATAGGAAACTCGATTCAGATCTCTCGGCCCGCATAATTTCGGTTTCGTTCAATCCGGGTTCATGGGGGTCTGCCGCTTTCATATTGGGAGGTATATAGCTTACCTTAGAAATCCTGAAGTATCAAACTAGTGAATTATACCCTAATCGCCCCTCGAAATAACCGATATGTGCGATTGAAAATGTAAGTGCTTGAAAGCGACGTCGTAATATAGTGAACTCGATTTTAAAAGTCTTGAAGACAACGTTTTGCGCCTGCGAAAAATCGAGGGTGGAAGATTTGAATTATTGCTGGAGAAATCTCGGGAATAAATTCAAACTAGGAGAAGAAACATGTCAGTCAATTGTTCCACAGTTGGAATTTATGATGAATGAGTGGGTTGATGAAGGGGTAATGGGATTTCTTAAGCGTGAAAGAGCTTCGTGGGAATAATTTTCGCAAATTTGGAACGACTTGGTAGTACCAAGGCTAGTTGCCAAGGGTGAACATTTGCGCCAGGCCCAACAGCAAAGCTACAGCCGGCAAAGGCAGCCGCCGTATATGATATGCGACAATGAGCTTGTCAATTGCAACAAAGAGCTGTAGGGACTGACACAACAAAGGTCGACGTGGTGGTGGGTGTAGTGAGGGGTCGGGTTGGAGGGGGGGTTTTGAAGCTGTATGCGCGACCAGTAAGGCGCAGGGACAGAAAAATGATCTACTTACATGTTTTGGATCGACTGAGGTAACAAGTGCTTTGAAAAACTCCTCAAATTCCGAAAGGAAAGCAGTAAATCAAAGAAGAATGATCGAGTATCGACGAGAAACAATTAGGTGCAATCTAGCAACGCAGTTATCGAATAAGTCGACAAAGGACGGAGGACGAAAGGGTGGAAGGATGGATGTGGATGGTGGATGAAGGGAGGGGAGGTATTGTATTCTTTTTTTTTTTCGGTTTGGTGGGTGAAAGAAGGAAAGAATTATTATGGGTGGTGGGTTAGGATGAGTGGATGTGGTGGATGTGGTGGATGGGTTGGAAATTTAGTTCATATGAGTAAGAGAGAAATTGAGAAATTGAAAGAACGAGGGGGACGTGATCTTGCTTGGTTTGGCTTGGTTGTGGTTGATCTTGATCAGGTAAGGAATGAGCCAAATGAACAATGTTCTCTTTGGGCGCATGAGTAGTGTGGCCAGGACTAATAATAAGAGTATTTTACCTAGGTAGACGGAAAAGTATCGTATCTAGGCGTTGGAGGAAAAGCACTTGCACCTTGGTTTTTTTTTAGTGTGATTTGAATTTTTGAGGATTTTTAAGGTGTGGTGTGATTTAGTAAGGTTTGATCTGATTTGGGTATGATATCAAACCATGATTGTGATATCTTTTCCGGACTTTGGGCTTGTTAGTATATATTGGGATTTGATCGTTGAGCTGGAATTAGCCCGTGTCAGTCAGTAGGTCTTAGCAGTCGAGCCAGTATCAATCAATATGCCCAGTCGTCAATATGCCCAGTCGTCAATATGCTTTCCAGGCAAGAAAGTTTAAAGGAGACTAAGAGTGAAGGAGAATAGGAAGTTTTTATAATTCAACTCTACTCTGCTCTGCTCTACTCTGCTCTGCTCTGCTCTACTCTACTCTACAGGATCTATTTACCTATTTACTATTTACCTATTTACCCAAGTCGTAAGTAGTACCTAATAGGTAGTACCTAATAGGTAGTACCTAATAAGTAGTCCCTGATAAGTACCTAGGTACTAGCGAGCAAGTAGTAAATATACATCTAATTAGGATCGAATGACCTAATCACATGTACCTACCCAAGTAATGTTTAAAATGGGAATCATCTATCTAGAACCTAATAGATCTTTGCTTCTACATACCTACAGCTATGTCCTATACAACACCCAAACTGACTTCTAGACGAAATGATGTGAATCTCAAGTATCTATTCTCTTTCATTCAATTCCACAATCATTTTCCTTTCTTTTTTCCTTTCTCTCTCCTCCTCCTCCTCGTCCTTTTTCGTCACAAAGTACATGCATACCTATATACCTACACACCTACATATCTACCCTACCCATATACATATATCCGAAAGTACCCATGTACCCAATCCAGCCAAAACATCAAGCCAGTCTAGGTTTGGGAAGCACAGGAGATGATGCATCTGCAGTCCACACGAGACCTGGAGGTGAAAAGGTGCTCCTCGATACCCCGTTAGTAAGAATAGAGTAAGAGAATGCCTTCGAGACCGCCCTCGCACCACAGAAAGAAAGGTAACTCTTTCCGTGATAGATAAGGCTTATTTTACGTTGATATGTGCTGCGACGCTGCGAGGTACCAAAGCTACAGCCTACAGGGTTATGTATCAATTAAGCTATAGCTACCCAGTAGGGACTCCGTATATAAACAAAATCGGGATTCATGAATGGCTGGCTGGGTGTGAATGCACGGCGGCGCTATGGGAATGCCCCCAAAAATGTTGACAATCTTTTGTAAATTGTAATAAGATCATTCTCATTGCATTGCATTGCATTGCCATTGTACCGGTACCTATCGTTTGAGTTTAATTCATCCCATCTCGATTGGTGAGAAGACTAATAAGGAGGTGAAAAATTCTTATACTCTACCCCTCTTTAATTCATCATACCTACCTACCTCAGACTCCGGATTGAGTTTGATCGACACTTGTTCGAGATAGAGTTTGTGCATTTGTATTTAAGTGTTGGGTGCATCGACCAAAATTCTACCCAAGGTAGAGAGAGTAGAGGTACTAGACATCATTAGACATCATCATCATTGAAATATCTGTCAACAAGATTCAACCACTACCTGTTTGTGGACTCATATGCTTTCTGCGCAAAGACTTTCCTCCCGAGCTGGATGATGGATCCATGGCATTCTACTGGGCTGAGGTTAGTGATGGCGA